CCTTTGTCACGACTTTGTACACTTCCTGTTCAAAGCTTTTATTCTGACACTCTTCCACCCTGTTCTCATCACTTCCATGATTCTCATTATTGGCCTTGAATACTCTCACTTGGTTTCAATCTGTAATCAAGGGACTACTGTATATATTTATGCTTGCAGCTCACATCTTCTCATTGCCAGATTGTTCCACCAAAGAACCCTCCAGTGTTTGCATTGTAACTTTCATTCATATTCCACACTCTCATGTTTCTCACTTTGTGCTTCACACAGCCAAATTTTCATTTAAATCTAGTTTAAGTATATGGCCTCATTCTTAGTTTTCTATACATCTTGTACTTAGCTAGAGGTTTTTCTTGAATATACTCACTATTCAGTTTCTGTCATGTTCTTGCTTGTCTGCCTCAGTATCTGCCTTTAGTTTGGGTCCTAAATCTAAATGTACACAAAATCTCGATAACATCTCCTAGTCCTCATTTGCATCTTGGGCTTGTTGAAGAATTTGAGGGTGTAGTTATTCTTTAACAGAAATTTTCCAACTAATCCAATGGAAGAAACTGTCCTTGTGTCTGGTTGTTTTGGCGTACAGTGACCTGTAGCACCGTCCAGAGGGGAGTTCAAACTGTTTGTGTCCAGGGTGTAAATCCAGTTTGTCTTAATAGAATCCTGTCATGATCCCTGTCTGATTTCCTGTTTGAGATTTTTATTTTTTAGGAGACTTCCTGTCTGGCTCCATGTTACCTACCCTGGCTTTCCTCAGCTCAATCAGCAGCTGAGGGGTTTCACCTGTCCTTTGCTTGGTGCGTAGTCTTTCACTGTGTGCAGAGTGTTCCAGCCTCAGCTGAAGTCTCCCTGTTGCCTGACTCTGGTTTTCTGTTTGTTTTGTAAGTCTGCTTTCTTATCTCTTGTGTTGTTGCCTGGACTGTTTTCTAGATTAAGAATTTTGGGCTTTTAGACCTCTGTGTGTTTTTTTTTTTACTTGCTGCCTTGTTTTTCTGATTGTTTGGACAAAGGTTTTTTTGTACTGGGCTCAGTTTGCTTACAATTGTGTGCACACAAAAGAGGATTTGTTTTTGATGAAAGATTATTTCATGTGTTGTGCTTTTGCCACTTACCTGTTCCTAATCTCAGTATTGTTATATTGTCCTGCAGTTAAAGGCAAGTGCTTTCTGAAATTTGGCTGACTGCATACAGTAGCTGTGCACTTAACTGAATATATCAGCCAAAGCTTCATACTCAATAAATCTGCAAAACATTACTGAGGACATATATGCAGTTCAAGCACTTGGCTAAGGAAGAAATCATGTGTGATCTTGGTTAAATAATTTAAGCAGGTCAACTGAACTGATAAAACCCTGGTGATTGACAGATGAGCTGCAGCATTGAAGAGAGAAAGAGAGATATGAATGTTAACGGTTCAAAGTGAAATTAGCATTTAGTGCTTTGGACTCCTCAAAAAAAAAAATATTTTTTTTTCTTTCGTTCTACATTTGGAGTTTATCAAGTAAAATGATGGTGTAGTCATCAACTGGTATTCACAACACTTGAGTGACTTACAGATGCCACAGGTGTTTGGGGCTTTATGACATTTGCTGACATAGTTGAAAATTAGTTTCAATAGTTTGTTTCAATCCTGGGACAAAACAAAGCTGTAAAGACCTCATGCCATACTAAGTATTCTCTTGATACCAATGATATTGGTAGAACTTGCACATAGACATGCCTGTACTGTATTGCACTGAGTCCTTGCTGTATAAAAGCATCTCTCATCAGCCTTTTATGATAATGAACTTGACTATATTTAGACATTTTTAGGTTTTGAAGAGCTCAGAGACAGAATTGTGGCAAGGCACAGATCTGGCCAAGGTTACATAAAAATTTCTGCTGCACTTAAGGTTCCTAAGAGCACAGTGGCCTCCATAATCCTTAAATGGAAGATGTTTAGGACGACCAGAACCCTGCCTAGAGCTGGCCGTCCGGCCAAACTGAGCTATCGGGGGAGAAGAGCCTTGGTGAGAGAGGTACAGAAGAACCCAAAGATGACTGTGGCTGAGCTCCAGAGATGCAGTCGGGAGATGGGAGAAAGTTGTAGAAAGTCAACCATCACTGCAGCCCTCCAGCAGTCGAGGCTTTATGGTAGAGTGGCCCAATGGTTGCATCATTCCCAAAAAGACTCATGGCTGTATTAGCTCAAAAGGGTGCTTCTACTAAATACTGAGCAAAGGGTCTGAATACTTATGTCCATGTGATATTTCAGTTTTTCTTTTTTAATAAATCTGCAAAAATGTCAAATTCTGCGTTTTTCTGTCAATATGGGGTGCTGTGTGTACATTAATGAGGAAAAAAATGAACTTAAATGATTTTAGCATATGGCTGCAATATAACAAAGAGTGAAAAATTTAAGGGGGTCTGAATACTTTCCGTTCCCACTGTACCTATTTTAAATGCAGCATTGCTGTTCTAGAACCAAAAGAGCCTTACTGTGGTGACTTGGGTGTATGTTTATACTGAAATGTGGCATTCAGCTTGATTGGTCGGACTAAAGCGGTTTGTTTAGATTGACAGAGAAAATAATTGGCAGATTAATCAATTATGAAAATGACCTTCAGTTGCAGCACCACACTAATTTTATTTTAGTTCCACTGGTGGTAACTATGACTTTTCACACTATACCTCATTTTGTATAATGCAAGATGTTTAATGTGTTTTTAGAAAGGACAAAAATGAGCACAAGGTATAAAAATGTGTGCTGTAAAGGCACCTCAACAAAAATGAAGCCACGGGTATGTGCTATCATCTGATGGAATTATTTTTCCGCTGGCTCCAGGTGCCAGGCTGGGATAAAGGCAGTCTATCACCAGAGACCCAGACAGCTAATGTAGCATAAAGAGCAGCTCAAAATTTGCCTGTGGTAAAAGCAACTCTTAAGGTCCTGCTTAATGGAATACCAGGCACATTGAATGACAAATAAATTGTTTTATAGGTCCACCGACTGCTCGATGCATCACTAATAAGGTTAATTTGAGTCCCACTGGGCAGACAGCATTAGCCTAAATGTGTGCTTTAGCACTGTCACCTGTTAGATTGACAAAGAGAAACGGTGCTGGCAGTGCCATTAGTGTAAGTGGAAGGTGAATGCCCAATTTGCTCATCAGGTCTGAGTCAAATGAACAGGATGCAATCACGAATTACTTTGTTTTGTGTATCCTGCAGGATAATATACTTGTTGTGAGTGTTTGCTGGAGACGCTTCACTAATTAAATTGCAGCTGAACAATGAGCAATCCTGAGACTTAATCACAGATGAAACAACAAAGCAGCACATGTGTAATGTAAAGCTCTATTTGCTTGTTTGTGTAGTCTGTGCATGCTGTACGTAAACTGTACGGTTCCAGGCCTTGATGTCCCAATTTCCCAAACTGATTATAGTTTAAAAAAATGTTCATGAGGCTGACAACAGCATAATGGTTATCTCCATCCAAATGATAGAGTTCCTTAATTAAAAATGGCCGACTTTGAGACTGCTGTTGAATGAATTATTTCTCTGAGAAGCTCCAACTGCCTCAGTGCCATTCAGTCGAACAGTTAAACATGCCAGAGAGCTGAACTGGAGGCTGCTGTTAAATTCACTAGTGCTACTGTTGCATAAAGTGGGCTAGATAAGCCTTATTTGAATAATTCCCATATAGCTCTGCTGCTTCATCTCAGAGTTTACCCATCAGAAATATGTGGTGTTGTGCTTATAAAGTTGTCAGAACAATGCAGCACCACTGCTAATCAGTGAGTTTTGGGCAGTGCATTGTATTTTGGCACAGATATTATTGGCATTCCCTCAGACTGCAAAATCTCTAATAGGCTTTGCTTTTGCAGAGAAATGCATTTTTTTTTCCAATTCTTTGCAACCTGTTTTTGTTGTTTGTGAACTCGGAGAAAACAAAGTCAGCAGGGTTGCACTGTGGGTTTCAAGCTTCATGAGAGGCGATTATACAGTAGCAAGAAAATGACTGGCTAAGCTTTGGTTCTTGTGTTGCAGGGTCTAAATCCCAAGGCCGTTAAATCACTCTGTATAACAGATTAACAGGAGCCTATTACATGAAAAGAGTTGGGAGATTTCCCACCCCCACATGTTTTCTCAACATCAGTATGCCACCTGCAAAGTTTTCATTGCCTACTACTGACCAAACACTGAGTTGTGAGTAAGAGGCCAATCTGCGGCACAAGACATAATTAAAAAGACAGAGACAACAGTAAGTCTAAGATATTTCAAGAGGGTTTATGCATCAGGCTATAAAAAATCATGAACACTGGAAGAGAATAGGACATAAGCTAGAAGACGGACAAAACCATCATACTCAAGTCTGTTGTGGGCCTAATAGCATATTAGAAGCATTTATTCAAGCATCCACTACCATTAACTGTTTATTTTAAGCTGATCCAAATTGTCCAGTGAATGCTAACAAGCAACATTAACACACACCCAAACCCAGAGGGAGGCTATACCATTGTCTCTGCAGCAGGAGGATCTGAAGATGGATATTGTCTGCTGGGTGCCAAGGCTATTTTTGAGAGTCTGAGCCACTGACCTGTCCCCGGATACACAATGACACTCACATACACCTCAGGAACGTAATAAGTGAAGAAAAAAAAGAAAAATGCAGCTTGATGCCAGCTATGATAACCCTAAGGTGTGTGTGACAGATTTAGCTGTACCACAGTATAGTGGATCTTTTAGGTGGGTAACAGGAACAGCACAGCTGTGACTGTGAATGACCTAAAGCAGAATGAGAGACTGTGCATTATGTCTCCAAACTATGTTATTCTACAGGTTTTCCGTGTTTGATCAGGCTGACAGATCTCAGTCTGACATGCACCCCTGCTTGTTTTTCCTCATCTCGTTGCCCCCTCTGCCTGCCTTCCTATTTTCTTTGCGCAGCCGATCCACAAGCTGAAATGTATTCTGCAGTGGGTGCTTATTGTTCAAACACACAAATACGCACTCACGGGAATACACATTAGCGCTTCATTCTTTACTTAAGAGTGTGTTCGTGTCTTACGAAGTGTCCTGGAGAAGTTTTCAATACGTGCGCCAAAGTACGCGAGGATTGTGGCGCATTGGAACAGCTGTAGTCAGTGTTGAATGGACGCAAGGAGGAGGGACATCGTACTGTACATTAACTCCTGCTGGCTGCGGGGATTCTCCAGTTGAAGGCATGGGGATGCACTTCCAGCGACCTTAACACCCCTTTGAGAAATACAGAAGCGACAAGGGAAAGCCAAACGAAAATCTATACATTTTTTTAAAGCTGCCCAGTGTTTTCCAGGGGCAACGCTACAGAGATGAGATGGTATACTATGCTTTTGAAGGATGCCCTGTTTTGATAAGGGGACCAAAGAAGGCAAGACACTGTTGTCCATGATATTTTCCAAAAGAAGATCGCAAAGGTGGAGCGAATAGAGAAGGGCTGATGACGGGACTACTAATCCTTTCAGTGCATCAAAAGCACCAAAGGGTATTAGAAACGTCTGGATGGAAATCGGGCGAATGTTTAGAACTGTTTTTGGTTTTATATGAAAGTGGTGATTAGTTGTTTTGACACATCTGCACGGATTTTTTTCTTTTTCACTTAAGGAGAAATTGCTCTTTGTTCAAGAAAAGCTTGTGTTGTTTGGGCGGTGTGGAATTCCAGAAACTCAATATTTTTTTCTTCAAGTATTTCTTAATCTAAATGGAATTAGTTGAGTCTGAAGTCGTTTGTGAAAGGAACAGACATGGTACATGGGCACAGCTTCCATCGCGGTAAGACATCCGTGTTCATCAGCTGAAGCACACTTATTTAAATTTATGTTTGGGATTATAATCTGTCAGATTGTGAGTTTGCACAAAGTCACTGGTCTAGATATGTTCTAAGACCTAACTGGAGTTATGCATGTTAATAATGTTTAAATATTCCCAACTGATAATGTGCCAAAAATTCTTGTTATAATGTGTACATTAAGTAGTGTGTGGTGCATTGGGATCCTGTAAGGTTACACCCAGGGCTGGTTTAACATTACCATATAATGTTGATGTACAGTACATGAAATTCTAAACCTGAAATGTGTTCCTTGCTGACTCAACCTTTTTTCATCTAAAAGGAAGCTGTGCACTAAATATAGAAAAAGGAAAACATGATGTTCATGTCATAGTCTTTAATCAAGAATGTGTTTTCTGTTCTTACAGTTGTTGCAAGTCTTCTCATACTTGGGTTGTCTGGGGCAACACGGAAGGACATAGCAGGTAACACAACCTCAAACCTTTAGTGCTCAGACATGGTTTCTCTTGCAATCTATAATGCCTGACCTTTCTTCTCTTTTTGCTTTGTATTAATTAGTGAAAAACAATTCTGGAGTGAAACCTGCAGGTCAGTGTGGAGTATGGGTGAAAGAACCAGAAGGAGGACTCTTCACTTCTCCAAATTACCCAAATAAATACCCCCCAGACACAGAGTGTGTTTACATTCTTGAAGGTAAATGCTCTATTTAAGCACTGCAGCAGTAACAAAAAATCAAGGTGATTCAGTTATTTATTCTCAGCTGAAGCATTCCTGGGGTTATCACGAAAGGAAAAAGATCACAGTAACTGCTGAGAGAATGATAGAACACATTGCTTTTGTAGATAGTGAAAGGCTACTTTGGACAGTTTTTTTCTCTATTGGGAGGTGATATTTGATTAATCTGTACAGATCATCAGGTTAAAATATTACAAAGTCATCAGGGACAGTTCTGGTGTTTTAGCCCAGTAGAGAGGATTGAGGCATGTATTGAACATGTGGGCAGGCTGATGACAAAACGGGTTTCATCAATGGAGGCATGACAGATATCTTACTCCCTGCTTTGTGCTAGGTGGTAATTATATTCATTGTGTCTTCCAGCCCCCCCAAGGCAGTGTATTGATCTACACTTTGAGGAGAATTATTCAATTGAGTCCTCATGGGAATGTAAATTTGACAACATCGAGGTTCGCGATGGACCATTTGGCTTCTCCCCAATGCTTGGAAGATACTGCGGTCAGCACAGCCCACCTGATATCAGAAGTAGCGGCCGATATCTGTGGATAAAATTTGTTACAGATGGTGAACTGGAAGCGGTTGGATTTTCAGCAAGTTACAACTTCACTGCAGGTACATTTTTCTTCCTTTGTAAGCATATCTGTGTTTTATAACTCTAACAAGGCTCCAAATGAATGCCAAACATCATCCAGGGAACTCAGCCTTGTGGGAGCCTCTTGCAGCTTTATTGATTGTCTGTCTGCACACACTCATTATTTCCATTGGCAGTGTACTGTACTGTCACTGGCTGTGGACACTCCTGTGACTGGCTATGCTGTTAGTTTTTCCTCTATATTTAAAGGGATGCTGTGAAACATTATCAGATTTGAATTCACTTTAGAAGGCCCACTCCTCAGTTTTCAGGGCTGGAAGAAGCCAAAAGAGCACAGCAAACTAATCTGTCTTGTCGAACACAATTGTGATGTACGGTAAAACACTGACTTTCTTAATTTGCCTCATCTTTGGGTGAGCTCTCATTACTGAAGCAGTTTGATGGCAAAGAATCGGGGCATAACCATAATTTAATAGTCACTCACATACACTTGGCTGGGTAAATAACACAGTCAGGTTTTTAGTGTGTTTGGAGCTTAAAAGGAATTGTGCCAGGGAACGTGAATGCTGTGCCAATTTGTCTCCATACCCATTGCATCTTCAGGGGAATGTTACCACAGAAGATTTGAGTATGTCATTGTTTATATGATGAACACATGCACTATATTGATCTTTCATCTGAAAAACATGCTATAGTACAGGCTGCTGAAAAGAAAGCTGGTGGTGAAGGTCAATTTATCTCTAATAGTTTTGTATATGTTACTGAAACATCAGAACGGTAAAGCTCTTCATGGGTTATTACACTGAAGATGTCCAGTCAGTAGCAATGAAATCTGAAGTGAATTAATAGTATTACACTTTATTTATACAGTGCTTTTCATGGTGAATTTGCTTAAGTACAATTGTGAGGTACATGTACTTTATTATTTAGTATATATACTTTACTGTATATTGTTACTCTACTACAGTCCAGAGGAAATGTTCTACAATTTACTCCACTAGGCAGCAGTAGTTACTAGATTCAAATTCAGATAAATATTTTAACAATGCATACATTCTGCCACACTATTGAAGGTTGAGATGAGAATTCTTTATCCTGAGGGGGAATTCACATATTATTCAGCAGTATATAAAGTAATTTAGATTAACCACCTTTAACAGCTGCAACATTAAAGTCATGCACTTAATGTATCAATAATGATAATCCACTAATCTAATGCACATTCATCTTGAAAATGAGTCATTCTGCATAATGGATTCTTAAGAGACTTCTGTCTGTTTATTTAAGTAACATCCTGAGTTCAGGACTTTTACTTGTGACAGAGTATTTCTGCATTAAAGTATTGCTCCTTTTACTTGTGTAAAAGATCTGAGTATTTTTGTCACCACTGCTGATAATCACAGTGAAGGTTGCAGCCTTGCACTGTCAAATATATTTTTCATACAATCCAGAGAGGAGTGTCAGGCATGGATTTGTTCTTGGTTATAGAGATAACTGTCTGCTGACACAGCTGTTTTACACATCAATCTCTCTATCAACTTTGATTTATGTTTTACTCTGCACAAATGCATTTTAGAAATGGCTTTAGTAAATCCAGCTAAACATTTACCAGGCAATAATATCACTGAATGGATGGCATTTTAACTTATTATTAAATTAATAGTTGGTGTATTTTATGTAATATTAACCCTATAAAGAAAATATTGATGCCATGTTCATGTTTGCAATTGGTAGCTACTGCCAGAAGCCGGTTAGCCTACCTTACAGACTGAATTTTGTCTCCCAAGGTGAAACACTTGCATATCACACAGTGCACCTCTGTCTCAGTTCACATTGCACCAGGCTAATCTTGCTCATCATGTTTTAGCTTTGACTTTGTATGCAGGGGTAGTGCTTCTAAGGTTTGCCTCAGCAATACATCTTAAAGCACAGTAATTAAAATAGTATATCATGCTTGTTAAGGAAGGAAGATATTTTGAGGTTTTGCATTTGAATGACTAATGGGCTAAGGCCAAAGCTTTGTATCTACCGGTCAGGGGTATCAATCTTTTTACCTCTTGCCAAGAAGGTGTTAGGTGTTTTTATGTTGACATCAATGCTTGTGAAGATGTATTTCTGACTGAGCTCACAACTTGGTTTGTGATGCAGTATGGGACATCCTACAAAAGTGTCTTTCCTATTAGGTGTGAGTAAAAATAAGGTACAGTAGAAACAGGAACTACTGTAACTGTAAAAGACAAAACAGGGCTGCACAGGAAGGATCATTTATTTCCAGCACTGATAGTCAGGTGGACAACTAACTTATTGTTTCATCTTCCTGCTTCTCTTCAGAGACTCACTGAAATTTTGCTGCGAGGAAAGAAAAAAGACAAAGCTCAGCCACTCCATTGAAAATATCTGTGGCATATGATTTACATAACTAAAGAGGATAAAAGTCCTGAATTCACTCCTTGTTACTATGAAATCTGGCACTGTGAATAGTGTCTCACATCTGCAGCTGCTCTGCTAACCATACTAATTCACACAATCTTCCTCTGATGAATGAGAGTGAAAAAAGGGAACAAAGGTGACATGAATCAGCTCCTCTTACTCGCTCTCGTCAGTCACTTTAAAAGCGGACAGATAAAAACTCTTCTGCCTCTTTTCAAACTCTCCCAGTGTCCTTTTAGAGCCTCATGCACTTGATGACTAATGCAGTTTGTATAGCAGCAGTGAATGAAGCAGCAGCAACTGGAATCTCACAGTATCCAGTGTCATGTTAGTAAATGTCAGTGGAGCATAAAACATGCAGATTCACTTTAAATGTGACATCTAAGGATGTGTATAGACAGGTTCAATCAGAAAAGTAACTAAACCAACATGGATGCCCCAGTGATGCTCACTTTTTCACTTTTTTTATTTCTTTTTTGCCAAATAAATTATACTCAGGTTCTTCTTGTTTCATAAATCTTTTAAAGCAGTTTTCAACTCAGTAAAATACATTATATGAACATTTGAAAAAAATGTATATATTAGAGAATATCACTATTTATGATTGAATTACTCATTTACACTGAACTGTGGAGTACCTGCAGGGATCAGTATACAAACAATTGCCAGGCTGTGGAGTCCACCTGCTAGGCTGCATGTGTGATGCACATTAGTTTTCTGACTGAATGGGCTTACCTGTAGACGGGAGCTGCCTCTGTCCGCCTGTATGCTCCCAGGTGATTCCTACTTCAGCCACTTCCCAGGCAGCTGATTATGGAGATGAAAGACTCCACATGTATTTGTGTACACTGTTGTATACTTAAAGTAACAGGCCAGCATTCTGGGAAATATGCTAAGGGCAGTGCCACTTTTATTTCTGGATAATAAATATGAAGCTACTGCTAGAAAGAGTAGTTTAGCTTATTGAAAAACCTGGAAACAGATGAAAAAAATAAAATCATCCTACCAGCACCTCTAAAATTTACTATGCAATTTACAACATGAAATTTTATTTGCTCAGTCTGTTCTATAAACTAAAGTGTAAAAACACTTTGTGACTTTCTGGGGGGAGGTACTTCTGAATGGATTAAACAAACATGATATAGGGTGATAAATAGTAAGCGTTAGACAGAGCAAGGCTAATTTGCCCATTTCCACCCATCACACTAATCCAACTGGCTGTTCATTGTGTTTAATAGCTTCAAATTTAGCATACAGCCACAAGAGATGTATTAATTTCATCTAACTCTCTGCAACAAGCCAAGTAATTTGGAAACATGCCAAATTATTTTAAGGGAATATTGAGTGATTGTCTCAAACATAACACAAGTACACTTTGCTGTAACATATTGTCCTAATAGCAGCAGCATGCAGAGCTACTGTAGGTGTATCTGACCATAATGTTCTACCTCAACAACAATCAGTTCCAAAGTTCAGACAGTTAAGAGAGGGAAGCCTGGGACAGAGAACTAAGCATTAATCCACCTATGAGAAGTGTGTGTTTTCGGAAACTGAGTTACAGGCTATTAATGTGAGACTGTGTTTGAATTTACAAAATAATTCCAAAGATGATGCAGTTTTGTCCTTTTTCTTTCTATTCTGCCCAAATGTATTCCTAATGGAACAATAATTTTGATTGAAATAATTTTAATGTGTGCTTTTGAGTTATTCTGTGTGGCGTAGTTTTAAATTTAGCACAATGTGCACCGTTCAGCTGTTTGTCACAAAAACCAGTGCAGTAAGACACTTTTTATTTCTCAGAGCACATGTGGAGTTGCCTTCCCTGGAGGATAGTGACAGTGTGTTGGATTGTGACAGGCAAACTTGTAATAATGACAAATAGTATAAAATTACAAGTTGAATAGCTACATACAAATGCATTAGCAGGGAAAATGACTGAAAATGACTGAGTGGAGGACCCTGGTGTTATAGTATATTTGAGTGTGTGTGTGTGTGTGTGTGTGCGTACATGGGAATTGGATTATTTAAGCAGTATTTTGTTCTTCATTTTGTCCTGGGGCACCATGATCTTAGAACCCCATTGACTGGTACATTAAATGGTGTTTCTACATGTTAAGCCAGAGCAAGTAAAAGCTGTAAGGAGACTTAAGAACCAATTGTGCATTTCCTTAAAGGACTAGTAATGTACAGTAAAAGAAAAGAAAAAGACATAAAAACATAAAAAATTCTCATTTCATCCCTATGGGTGGTATGTCCCATTCCTCTGCCTCGGGTTATCTGAGGGCCTGAGAGTTTGAGGGTTCTGTGCAGGATCTAAACTGTTCCTAGCTCTGTATTCTTTGAGACAGAGCTCTGATGTTGCTCCTGGGATCTGCTGAAGCTGCTCATAGGAGTCACAGCCAGCTTCATGTGCCCTTCCTTCCTGCTGTCACTTAAGACTGCTACTGTATATCGATTGCCACTCCTGCCTTCTGTTCCTTTCAAACACCACAGTATCCTGGTTCATTAATCAGTACCTGCCTGTCCATCTGGACCTGGAAGCCTTGTGATTCTCCACAGCCTTCTGAGGGTTCTCCCATCTGGATTTGTG